GATGTATGTTAATGTCAGTGTTTACAAATGACTGGTTTTTATTGACCCCTGTGTTTTTACTCTACATGTTGTAACCCGCAACTGGATAGCGTACTATACTGTGCTCAACAGTCCATGGAACTGACATATTGCTAATCTGTTGTTGTTATGTAAAAATGCAACAGATCTGTGAATGCAAAGAAGCATGAAGCTGGGAACATTCCCAGTATTAACAAGCCATTCATGATGTAACATAAATTTTTAAGAGTTTTTGGATGAAAGTTAATGTCTCTGTTAACTGTTCTTATGAACTGTATGACATACTCCATTGTCCATTCCCCATAAGTAGAAACAAAATGTTTTGTTGTCCCAAAACTTTCTCTAATGAAAAATGTAGAATATCACACTTATCAGTGTGTTGTTTTACAGCTACATTGTGGATTATAGACACTTTCCTCTGTCATGATAACCAACATTTAGCTTTAGAAGAAACAAATCACACACTGTGTGCCTACCTCAGAACTAAGAAACAAAGCCACACCTGAGTTTTGTGGCTCTCTCGGCACAGGTTACAGGTCGACTGGAACTGGACACTTCTCTAGAAGTAATGAAAGGAAATGTTAGCATGTCATCCTTCAGACTATATTGTCAAACCTGTAGACAGAAAAATTGCTAGTTAACTGTGTTCATTTTACATTAATGCATCACACATGAGACATACATACATAATATATGACTTTTTTATTTCAAACATTATTTTAATATTAAACAAACACCCTTGAGACCCTTTATTTGTTTAAAATTTACTATCCACACTACCCAATATGTTTGTTTCGGTTTGTTTTGTTCAGTGACTTCACTTTGCCATTAAATTGCCCCACTTGTATGATTAATTTGAAATTTTTAATGCTACTTACTTCAGCACTACCTCTCAAATCCCTACATCTTAATTTCAGGTAAAGTTGTGTTCTTTGCTGTAGTTGCTGTTGTCTGATCCAAAATAGTTTAAATTGAAACCCCTTCTAACTTCATGTTAGCTTTTGTCTGAGCTCTCCATGAATTACTTCTTTCTGTTTCTGGTTAGACGCCATTGCTCTTCAGGCATTTCTTCTATTGTGTCTAATGTAAACACAACAGCATGACACTAACACTAGGTCTGAGTTAACAACGGTTGAAGGCGGCTTACCCTGAATTATGCACAGGGTTCCCACTGGTCCTTGAAATGCTTGTGAATTTGAGGGGAAAAAATCAAGACCAAAAAAGTTTTTTTAAAATAGACATAAATTGACATGGGTCATTGAAAGTGCTTGAATTTATATATTCTATATTTTGTGCAAAAAAAGAAATTGAAGTTCATTTACTATATAAATACGCTGCATATCACTGTCTGCATGTGTCTCCTGCCATCTCTGAGCTCTACAACTCATTAAAAAGTCTCTGTCTCTATTGTTTAACATACACAACATATTGTTTTGCTGTGTTGTGTTAGAGAAGCCAAGAGACTACAGAGTCAGCCAACAGTTCAGAAGTGTTCAGTGACAAACATAAAGTGACCGTGTGTGTCTGTCTGTGTGTGTCTGTGTGTGTGTGTGTGTGTGTGTGTGTGTGTGTGTGTGTGTGTGTCTGTGTGTGTGCATGCGTGATAGGATGTTCTACTAAAAGTTGATTGTATACAATAATAATAATAGTAATAATAATAATATTTGACTACAGGATGGTAGTTATCATATTCATGTAGTGAGGGTGAGCGAGAGGCTGCACTAGAAATTTTTTTTCCCTCTTATGTCTTGGAGGGGGTCTGGCCACTGAGGAAAGATGCCCTGAAAGAGAGAGGGAGGTGGTCCACCCAGGTACTGTCCCATTCCACCCTCACCAGGGACCCTGATACGCTGCCTGTAGAGGACTGGCAGGGGGAGCCCCCCCAATCCGCCCCATCCAGCCGATCCAGTCCGGCCTCTCCCCCACCCAGTTCAAAGTAATTTAAAATATAATATATAATATGTATAATGATATGATGATCTATTTTTCAAAGGTCAATGATATTAATACAAATGGTTTGTGCTTGGAGGGTATATGTAATGTGGAGAGGTCACCGAGTAATGTAATGAGATCGTCCATAGGCACAACCCTATCCTCAATCCACAAACGTCCTGCACCAGTCAGAGCAGACAGGAGAGGAGACAACAGAAAGACTAGCATTATGTTTAAAAGAAAGACAATTGCATTAATTCATAATAGAACTGTATACATAACTGAGGTATTGTAATCACGATTGCTGTCCCGCCCACTCCCACTGACGTTTTTTCCTGTCCCGTCCCAATCACGTGATGATCAATTAATGGCTAGTTAATTTGAGGTGTGTACTATACAGATCAGTGTGCCTTTTTGTCAGTGTGTTTCCGTTGAGGTGATGTATCTGTTTGAAATTCATAACCTGTAAACTATTGGTAAACTATTGCATTTGTATTTTGTTATATTTTGCCACTGAATGTGCTAAGAGAGTCTCACTTTAGAAAACCTGATTGAAATTCTACTTTTGCCTCACTGTACACAGAGGGTAGATGTGCCATGCCTCTGGAAGAAAGAACAAGGTATATTCAACATCCTCTGTTACTTTGATGCATTGTTAGAAACAAAATCCATTTGAAAAATAAATGACACAAACACCAAAATAGTTGGAATTGATCTCCCAAGTATTTTCTAAATAAATTAATTGTTTGGTTTATAAAATGTCAGCAAATGGCAACGAAGGTCCTTCACAAGTTCCCAGAGCCAATGGTTCAAATGTTTTGTTGACCAAAAAAAGTTGTGAAAGAAACAGAAGATTAAATGGTTGGTTTATCATTTAAATAGCAAAATGTGGAGGTGAAGTTATATTGACCATTCATTAGGTCTTGGGTTTCTCTTGTGACTTGCAACACAACACACATTTACTGCTAAATGTGTTGAAAAAGCTGTTCAATAAGAAGTTATCTGAAAGGTCAATGGGTTGCATGTGGGTTGAGTTTTTAAGTAATTTTAGGTGTCTTGTAAAATCCTCTGTTGCTGTTTCTGTAACATTTCTTTTTCAGGACTGGGTTGTTAACTATGGAAAAACCAATGGGCAGGAAAGACTAAACCAGTCTTTACAGCCATATGGAAGGAGAGGAAGATACCGGATGAACGGACAAAACTATTTGGAACTGACTAAATATTCACCCAATGTAACATCATTGAACAGTGCATAGAGTGGCAGAGACAACTGTATATAAACTTCATGGGTTTTGAGAAGGCTTTTGACAGCATCCACAGAGACAGGCTATGGCATATACTTTGTGCATATGGGATCCCAAAACAGATTGTCCTTCTCATCAAGAGTTTCTATGACAACTTCACGTGCCATGTGAGTCAAAAGAGTTTTGTGGTCAAGACAGAAGCAAGGTTGTCTGCACTACTTTTCAACCTAACCACAGACTGGCTGATGAAAAGAACCACTGAAGACCAACCAAGAGGCATCAGGTGGATGCTTTTCTCATAACTGGAAGACCTAGATTTCACTGATGACTTGGCCCTGGTCTCGCACAAACTCCAGCACATGCGGGAGAAAACATCCCATCTCAACACCTTTGCACAGCAAGTAGGCCTGAGGATCAGCCAGGAGTAAACGGAGATGACACTGAGCATCCCTAACCCTGCACCAATCCAGGTAGACTGAAGAAACCTACCCATAACTAAAGAGTTCACCTACCTAGGCAGCATTGTCAGACATGGTGGAGGAACCACGAGTGACATCAAGAGCCAACTCAGCAAAGCTAGAAACATCTTCCAAAAACATCTGGAAGTCTGCCCAGTACAGCACCAACACCAACTAAGACTGTAGCAGAGCTGTGTCCTTTCCACACTTCTTTATGGCTCTGAATGTTGGAGGATGACAAAGAGCGATCTCCACAAGCTGTCAACCTTCCAAACAAAATGCCTACGGAAAATACTACAAATCTTCTGGCCCAATACCATCTCCAGCCAACATCTACTCGCCCGGTGCAGGCAATACAACATGGCCACCATCATCATCAGAAGAAGGCAAGATGGATCAGGCATGTCATCCAAAGAGAGCAGGACATCACCCGGACTGACCTTCACTGGACAATGGATGGAAAACAAAAAAGAGGCAGACCCAAGAACACCTGGCATCGAACAGTAGAGGGAGAGCTGAAGACCCTACACCACTGCTTTTTCTCCAGCTCACTAGATTTTCAATCACAGCCTCCAAACTAAAGGAGGAGCTTATTCACCCATATCGCCTCCTCTGCACAAGTGAAAGTGAAACTTCACCATTGACAGCGCTGATGTTTTGTTTGGTTTTAACCAAATTATCGTAATGGTTAACGTTTCATCATCAGCAGCTGAAACTTCTCCCCCACGTGGATCGCCGATATGACACACCTCCGATTATTATGCCCTATTATTACCTGCGGGTGTGAACTTTGACACCATTGTGCTTTATGTCAAAACGCCACTTGCACTACTACATGTCCAAACCGGAGGCAGGTAAAGTACAGGTAGGCCACCCCCTACACACACACACACACACACACACACCACTAGAAAAACACGCGCGCAGACGGCTTACCACTCGCTGGTCTCCGGGGTATTTGAGCTGGACGAAGATCACCGGGAGCGCCGTCATGAAGTCTGTCATCAGCGCAGCGGCAGCGGTTGCTCTCCTATCCAGCGGAGCAACAGGCTAAGATCACATTTTTGCATTTCACTTGTTACAATAAAGCTGATCTGTCTCATTGGCCTGAGTCCAGTATTACTAATACATGAGTCGAACCTGAGTGTGGTCCAGATTTCGCCCGCGAGATCGACTATCACACACGCCCTTCGCTCGTCTCGTTTAGCTGAAGTTCACTCCTCTTTTGATTCGTCACTTTGTTACATACCAGTATGCGTCAGGGCAGCAGCACTGACACTTTTTTTCTTATTAGAGACATAAAGCCCTCAAGGTATAAGAACCAAAGCCATCCAGTCATTTCAAAATGCTCAGTCAAAAGGGATTTTATTGTTTAATGGCATACTTAACACAAGCACGTCTCAACAAATGCAGCTGATTACAAGGATCACGGTAACAATGTGAAGTTTTTTCTGCAACCTTTATGTTGTACTGAAGCAGAGTAAAACCACAGTAAGCTGCAGAGAAATAACAAAACTTGTTACACATGATCATAACCTTTAATTTCACACTGTAAGCGGGGGCCAAATTACCAACCACACAGTGCTGCCAACAGCCCCAGAAGAGCCCATAATCATCATGGGGAAGTTGGTATGTGGTGATTTCAACAACTGTACATTTGTTTGGGAATACACACCACTGAAGCACAATATGAACTCTGATAAGGTCCTCAAAAACTATTTAATGGTGATGTTGGCAGTGTTGGGCAGAAATACAATTCTTAGTAACACATTACAATAATGTGTTAACTTTTTAAAGTAACAAGTGTAAGGGATAACAATTTGAAATTCAGTGCTACTTATCACAGTAACACTCTATTACTTTTACTGTAACATTTTGTTGGATTGTTTTTCCGTCTTATCGAGCAATAGATGGTGGGTTGATACCAGTTTGGCCTCTGCGTTAAGCTAGCACATGCTGGACAGAAATAATTAGAATTTATGATTAAAACATTAACGACATGTGTGCAGGATTTAATGGCATCTAGTGGTGAGGTTGCTGATTTCAACCAACTGAATACCCCTCCCTTTTCAAGCTTGTAGGAGAACCTATGGTGGCCGTCAAATAACATAAAACATAAAAGGTGCTCTTTAGAGCCAGTATTTGGTTTGTCCGCTCTGGGCTACTGCAGAAAAGTGGGCAGCGCAACATGGCAGGCGCCATGGAATAAGACCCGCTCCCTATGTAGATAGGAAGGGCTCATTCTAAGCAAACAAAAACACAATGATTCTAAGTTTCAGATGACTGTTCACTAATGAAAACATAATTCTGAATATGATATTCCATTCCTGCCAATAGATCCCCTAAATCCTGCACACTGGTCCATTGAAAGAACATTTTTAAGCAGAAACTTAAACTGGCGAAAAATGATACAGAAAAAAGCAGCTGCTCCAACTTCAGGGTGCATGTTCTCAGAAAAAACTGTGTTTACCAAATGACCACAAAAAGGAGTCAAAAGGTTTTTACAGCTAATTTGGGCCCCATGGCCTCCAACTGCATTAAAGCAGCAGTGGCTGTAACAACTGAAGGAAAAAAAAAAGTTGCCTCTAGAGCTGGGTATCGAAACCTCAATACTTTTTGGTACCAACTGTATGTGTCCATAGCATTTAGTACTTAGTATTGAATCAGTGAGTCAGTTTCTAATTTGAAATCAAATCATTTAAATTATTTGGGCCTGTCATTTTATTCTTCTACTTTCTGCCCAGCGGTTTTTGTGGGGTTTGTTGAAAAAGATTTATATTCCTCATAGTAAGGTATTGGAATACAGTACAGAAATGTAGGTATTGTATCAACAATGTTATCAATACACAGCCCTCGATATACCAGCTAAATTCTTGAATCCTCAAGGAATTTTCATTTTACGTGGATGTCCCTCCACTGAGGATCATTTGGATCTATGGGACTGTGCGCTGCACCAACAGGCTCTCCAGTCTTTGTCTTAGTTCAGGCAGCAGTCCCGTCCAATTTAAGACCAGCCAGGGAATCAGCAGCCTTTTCCTCTTCACCCTCTTCCTCCTCCTCGTCATCATCATCTTCCTCTTCCTCCTCCTCTTCATCCTCCTCCTCATACTCATCTTCCTCGTAGTCGTCATCCTCTCCGTAGTCATCCTGTTGGTCTCTGCCTCCAGATGCTAAGTTCTTCCAGTAGGAGTCGTACCCTGATGCTCCGTCATAGTAATCGTCGTCATCATCAGCGCCAGCCTGGCGGCCAAATTTCAGCGTGCGAGCTGCAGAAGACACAACGACGTGAAAATAGCTCTGGATTAATTTACTGGGATAGTGATAGAAAAGTCATGTAATATACATTTTAGAAAATCGTGTTCAATAAAGAACCCATTTTTATTTTAACTCTCATATTGTGTGTACTATATCAGATAATAAAAATGTAAATATTGTAAAGCCCTTTGTGAGTAACTACAGCTATCACATTCATTATAGGATTTTCAATAAAGCTCTTTGAGATAGCACAGGGCTTTTGTCTGAGATAGTTTTATCTCAAACCCTGTCTCACTCTTAAATACAGATAACAGCCAAATGCCAGCGGATATCTGTGTTGCCAACAGATCTGTGATTTGGCACGTTTCACTGTGTATTGTTTACCGTCAAATTAATATTTCCAAGGTCTAGAATGAACCTTCAAGCTCAATCAATTACATCACTTTGATTACACTGCAATTCTGAAATGTTGTCGCTGAAGACCAAATAAAACATAGTTTAAGTGTCGTTTGGTGAGATGAACGTCTTTTTGTTTATAACCAGTGAAAAATGTGTCACTATCACAATAAACAGCAAGAAGTGAAATGAGGAAAATAAGTAAGTAAGACATTGTTTAAATGTTCAAGAATAGATGACAATTTTTTTGTAAATTATGTGAAAAAGAGTCATTTCACAAGAATGTCCCTGTCTTCACTCTCTGTTTCGTTTTTAAAATCAAGATGCATGAGGGAAGTTGAGACAAAGGAAACTTCCTCCAAATGGCAGCTTTACTGGAACAAAAAACACTGCAGTCTGATGAAGATTTGTGTGATACTCACTGGACATGCTGAGGTCTTTGGTCTCCTGTGTCTCATGGCCACACTTGGGACATGGTGGAGCTTTGCCCTTTTCTTGTTTAAAGACCTTACTCTTGGCGTGGTCATCACAGTAACAGGCCTGAGAGGACAGAGGTGAACTGAAGTTTAAAAAAAACAGGGGTGAAGGGGTCTGAATAATTTCTGAAGCCAGTGTGTCATCTTCATGTGGCCTTAATTCTGGTTTGAAATAATATGAATGAGTTCCCATAACTGTTTAGGCTTGTTTATATGTTCTTTCCAAATTATATAATATTGTAATTAGGTCATTCACTCATACATAAACAAATATTAATTGTTCCTTTTCTCATCCATCATCTACAGAGCTCCTTGCCTGCCCTCAGTTTTCACAAAATATTTGCAGAACAAAAGTTATTCCATGTGCTTTCCCAGACATCTTCAATGCTGAGCAGCAGCACAGGGACGCTTACTGTTTTTTTTCACTTTTACTTTGCACTTACTATTTTATTTATTGTATCCTTCTTCCTTTACTTGATGCACTATACATTTTAATGTAAAGAATATTGAATCGATGTGTAATTAAATGTGCTATCTCAGAAAAATAGCCTTTCCTTTTCCTTATTAATCTTATCTTAGGCTGTCTTGTCATTTCAACCACCTTTGTAGATAAAGCTGCTGTGTGATAACTTTAACCCTTAAACCCATGATACTTAAATGCCAGACATAACCATCTTATTTTAACAGTTAAGAGATCAGATAGCAAATGTCAAACTAAACACTCCTCTAACCCAGTGAAGGAGGAAAAATTCTTCTGGCAGCAACATCAGCCTCATCTGAAGTCCATTTTTATCTGACTGCAGCACTAGTCTCAATGACACGTTTCCTGTGCGTCAGGATTACTTCCCGTTACAGGGCAAACTGAAAGCAAATGAAAATTAAGAGGAAACTTTACTTGACTCTGCCTATTCAGTTAGGAGATGTGTATTGTTGTTGTTTGTTTGTTTTAGAAACAATTGAGATGAGCTGATAAAATGGGTATGACATAAAAATGCTAAGTGCAGCTTGAAGAGCAAATGAACATGTGAATAAAAACTTTTTCCACAGTCAGCTTCCTCCCATGTGTTTTCCAAACTAAGGTTAGACTCTCAGTAGACAGTTTATTAGGAACCCCTAGATAAAACTAATGCAGTCTAATACAGCAGTCCTGAAATAAATCCTCCCTTCATGAATGTTAATGTTCAATTTGTGTTGAAACTGTTTTATAGAGGCGCTGATTCATTTTAATGGTCTTTTTGGAGGCTGCAGTTTCTGTTGCTGTTGAACTGTATTGTATTATATGGACAGATGTTTCTATTATTTTTTCCATCCCATTTATATAAATGAGGGTAGGCCAAATAAACACATTAGGTTTAGCTAGGTGTGCTTAACAAACTGCCACCTGAGTGGATGTTCCCCTCACCTTACAGCGCAGGCACGAGTGCTGTCCCAGTCTATTACAGGAAACACCTGTAGTGGAATCAGAAAAAAGGTAAAACAAACTGTCAACAATCAAGTTTTCTCACCCTCAAGATATTATCCTCTAGAATATGTACACTTTACTTCCCCATTAACCACAAAATGGCAATGAGTGATTATGTGAAAGGGAAAGTCAATGACTCACACTTGAATGTTTCTGCCTGAAGGATTTGGCAGCTTGCCTGGTGTTCAAACTGATCATCCTCACACAAGAAGTTTTGACAGAAGGAACAACGAAAAATTCTTCCTCCTATTCACAAAGTTAAAAGAGCCAGAGGGGATTTTTAATGTGACACTGATGCGAGCGTGTGAATTTCAATCAGGTCAGAGGTCTTACCGTGATCCCAGACACCACGCTCACACTCGATGCAGTCTGCATCAGTCAGGGGACATGCACAGGCGTGAGTGCTCAAACATTTCCTACCGTGGCACACCCAAGCTTCGCAGAAGTCACATACTGCCCCCTTATGATAAAGAAGAGAATTGAAAAGGACAGAAATTTGAGAGTTTGAAACATTTTTTCCAAGGCCTCTGTGGAATCAATTGACCTTGGTTTGCAGGTAAATCACAAAGCTTTGCACAAAGTTTTTAATTCATGCTAAATTATGAAGCAAAATGCAGAAGTAAGACATGTACTGATCACAGAGCATTGACCTGTCATTCATCACTTACTGTACATCCTGAACTTGTTTTATATCATTATTCTGCTGCACCATCTTTGGCACTATCTGATACTACTTAGTCAATGTGTTACTTCCACATCACTCACGGTCATTACTATTGCCGTAATTATTAGGTCCCGATTGCACTTACACAGCACCGCAATACTATACAAACTGCACGACTGTGACATTGGCTAGCATTAGTGACGAATACAATTAGCATGTTACTTGCACAATCTCATTCATGTGGTGTTTGCTCACTATATCGTATTTGCATTTCCACTGGACACTGCATCTAGCAAGTCTGTATGATACTGTCAGATAAGTAGTCAAGGTCACTTTTATTGTCTCCTATAAGGAATTTTGTCTTGGGTTAAAGAACTTGCTGCATGAAACACAGACATGACACAATAAAAATATACTTAATGAATAAAAGCACACTTGCAAAAACATTATCAACAAACCTGGTCTTACATTGTTGCAATAACAACATGTCCCCATTAGGGCGGAGAAGTGCATTTGGGTCACCGCACAAAGAGGCGTTCTTGCCATGTGAATATGTCAGTTCAGAAATGTTGCAAACTTACCACCATGGCCATCCCAGTGCTGTGGATCCCAGGATGTTTGATGACACAGTCTGATGACTTCATGCACTTGGTTTTTCCTAACAACATAAACATTTGAAATGTCATAGTTTAATAAGGAGTCCAAACCTATTTTAATGCCATTGTGGTGAATTCTGATTTTATTACAGCATCTTTCATATTATTGTGATGGTAAAAGTTTATGTAGTACATAACTGGTATGGACTAGTGTTTGCCAAAGATGCCACCACTGAGAGGCACTGAAATAGAATATCTTCAACATCTACACATGGTGCACATCAATTTTACACTTGAGGATCATCTTACTCATTGTGGTTGATACTACTCAGCCTGTGAATACGTTGTACGATGTGTTCTTTTTCTCTTTCTTGAGGCTTCAAATTTATAATGGAGAGACATTACAAACTGGAGGCATGGATACTGAAAGACATGGCCATGTACTGTACCCGATAGGGAAGGTCTATCAGACTAGGTCAGGGTGCATTATGGGAAGTGATAGGATCCGGAATTTTTCAAATTTGACCTGTTCCTACGGACTAAAAATCAAGATACCCTGACCTCTGCTGTAACAAATTTGACCATTCTTGTTTAAAGGAGATGTCTGGTGATATTTGAAGGAGGAAATTAGCTACAGAGACCAAAACTGTTTTTTGTACCAGGCTGTAAACATATTTATTTCTGCTGTAAAGTTGGGCATTTTAATATGGGAGTCTATGGGGACTGACATGCTTTTGAAGCCAGCCTCAAGTGACCATTTGAGAAACTGCTGTTTTTGGCACACAAATGTTGGCTTAATTTTTTCAGCCCGGGAGGTTGCTGCTCAGAAAAGACCGAAACTAACAATGAACCGATCAAAAACTATTAGCAGTGCATCAACGAGCCACACTGTTGCACTGACCGACATGTTCCCTCATTATGATGAACACAGGCACTGGATCCGTGCCACTGTAAACACTTACCAGAGCATCAGCTACTGAATTTGCTAAAAAAAAAATAGTGCCCAGCTGTCAAAAAAATAAATAAATGACTGAGCCTTTTTTTAAATGAAAGAATATATCTGTTTGTTTGTAAGAGTTTACATCTTCAGGAGGAATTATTGGACATGGGGCTGAGTGAGACAGATATCAGAGAGGGATTCACAATAACAGTAAGAGAAAACATCTATTAACACAGCAGTTACTCACCACACTGGGCGCAGACAGGCAGCTTCTGCACTGAGTTGCAGAAGTAGCAGAAAGCTCTGTTCTTCTGTTTTCTACCACGTGGCATTACAAAGAAAACATGTTTGTTAACTGGATGACCAGTGACAGTCTACTTGTTCTTGTATTTGAAAAGATGTTACATAGTAATTACAGTTACTGACCTCTGGCATTTGTCACAGTCCTACAAAACAGATCACAGTAAAGTTCAAATATTAAGAAACAAGCTACAGTAGTACTTAGGATATAATACTTTAGCCTTGTGCATTGTGTGTTATCTACTTACCATGTTAGAGTTGCAAGGGTGTTTGGCCACATCAACATGTTCCCGGTTGGCTCGGCTCTGTTTCTCTCGCTCTTTACGACTCTCAGCCTTTTTCCGTGCACCGGTTTTCTTCTTCGGCATCTCTGGTTCCGCGGGCAGATGTTTACTGAGCTGACTGCAGTTTTCACTTCAGCTTACCTGCGGACACAGAACTCAGTCTGATGGTGGACAGGCAACAAGCTAATCTGTGAACAATTCAGCTAACCGAGGACGACTTCAAGTTACTTTGCGTTTCTGTCATTTAGAAGTAAACACTGAGACCAGTCAGTGGAGTAGATCGCTAACATATGTGCTGTTTAATGATACTTTCACGACAAAGTGAGGAACATTTAATGACATGAAGGTTAGCTGTTTAGTTACTAAACACGCAGAGTCACTTGGTGAGTAAACTAAACTGGCTTCAGAACGGTTTCTATATAATATTCAGGCTTTCTAGCAGTTATATTAATGCTCCTTAATGTTACACCCAAGTGTCATAACAGATTTACGAGTCTCATACGGAGGATATATTACCGAAAGGATCAGCACTGCGCCAGCGAGTGGGTCCGATCTGAAAATCTGACCGACTGAAACACACTGCCGAGCAAATCGTTCCTATATTTCAGATTTAAGTCCCGTGCTCTGAAGCAGCTCTCAGCCAAACTTTTGCACTTATGCGTCTTCACTGTGTCATAACTACGAGTTACTCTTATGTTAATGGATGATAAGCAATTTACTTTGTTTATGAATAAGTAACGATACCTTAATAAGTATACCTTAAAGTTCTAAATGTTAATAAGTTATTAATAGAGGATAAAGAGAAAGAACCTGTACAGTCAGAGACATTCATCCAATATGGGCTCACAACCTGTCAAATCAAACACTCTTCTTTCTGTAAATAACAGGTCATTGCTTATGAATTATTCAATTTCTTTTTTTTTTTTTTTAATATAAGTCATTGTGGAAACTCACTAACCTTAAGTAGTCTATGCACTGTAAAGAGATGCCCGAGATCTACTGAGAATAGTTTCTATTTTAATCTATAAATGTTTTTTCTGAACTTGACAGTGTAATAAATTTCACCATTTACGTGCAGGTTAAGTTCTGCAACTATTTATGGGGGAGTTGGTGGATCCATTGTCTCTATTGAACAACTACATATCTTACCCTAGTTGTGCGTATCATTAGTGACACTGGGCAAATTAACTTACCACTGTGCAAAATAACATGAAACTACATACAAAAATGACCACACACAGTGTTTCCTGTTCCTGTGATTGTCGACCCTGCCCCTAATGTGTTGCGCCTGTGTCTCATTGTCTTCCCCAACTAGTGTATTTAGTCTGCGTGCTCCCTGTGTCCTGCGTCAGTTTATTTTTGTTCTTAGTATCAAATGTTCCAGCAATCTCTCTGTGGTTTACCAAGTGTGTTTTTGACCGGTTTATTTTTTTGAATTTAAGACTTTAGCCATAGCCCTTTGAATTTATCTGCCTGTTCTGATTGATCACCCATGTTCTGACCTTGCCTTAATTAAAGACCCTGCCTTTGATCGCTGTCTCTGAGTCGTGCATTGTGAGTCCTTATACTGTGGTTCTGTCTCAAATTCCAACTTGAAGTGTACAAGCATCTGAAAGCATCTCAGACCAATGAACCTGCATGGTCACTGGATTCACATCATAACGTCTGCTGGTTTCAGGTATCCATCTGTAGAGGCCTAATGAATGTTTTTATCAAATTTCATAAAATGATGTACACAATTTCTCAAAACTGGTGCAAAGCACCTACAGTACTTACAGTAAGAATTAACTGTGATATATGAGAAGTGCAGACACATAAATGGAATCATGAAAAATTATTTTGCACTTCCATTTTAAAATGTAATTCTAAAGGTAAATATATTGTTTAATCGGCAAATTTAGTGATATTTACTATTTATTATTGCTTGTATTGAATTTAAATAATAATTCAATTATGTAATTTATAATCCTTTTTGTTTTTTTAATGTATCAATAATACAAAAATAATTTTTTTCTTTGCTTTTGAGACACAAACATCTTGCATGTGGACAGTAGGGACATGTCCCTACTGATATTTTTGGAGAACAGAATTGTCCCTGCCAATATTTGGCTGATCTCGTTCGCACTATGTTTGGAGTGAAGTCATATTAGATCATTCCAGTGTGTCCTCCAAGAGGCTACGTCTCCAAGACAAATGATTTAGGCATGCTAGCATTTGATTGATTGAAAAGGCACAGGTTATCTGACGGCTGGCGTCTTGTGAGAATGTCACAGAGGTACCTAACATCACCACAAAAATGTCAACTGATGTTATTTAACCATATTAGCTAGCAGTCAGGTTGCTAGCAGGAGTAAACATAAAATGGTGGATATATCAAAGTATGAGTATGAGAAATCCCATGAAAATACCATGATGAATACTGGGACTTTTTTATGCCTTCTCACAGTGACAAAGTTCTGGTTTGAACCCCAGCCTAAGGCCTTGCTGTGTGAAGTTTGCCTGTTTTCCCTTCGCCTGCATAGGTTCTCTCCGAGTACTACAGCTTCCTCCATCATTCCAAAGATGTACATTAGGTTAATTGGCAACACCAACTGACTTTTCTCTGCTTTGCTACACTGTGAAGTTTTTATGCCTTACTATACTATGGTGTTTTTTATGACTTACTATACTATGACTTTTTATGCTTTACTATACTATGACGTTTTTGTGACTTACTATATTCTAACTTTTTATGCCATACTAAACTATGACTTTTCATGGCATAATATACTATAACTTTTTTTTTTAACCTTACTATAATATGATGTTTTTATGAATTTTTTTTGCCTTACTGCCCTGTGATGTTTTTATAACATTTTGTATACCTTACGGTATTATAAGGTTTTTATGACATTTTTTATGCCTTACTGTAGAATGATATTTTTATGGCTTACTATACTGTAAAGTTTTTGATGTTTTATGCCTTACTATACTATAACAGGTTGTTTTTGCTTTTTATGCCTTACTGTACTATAAAGTTTTTTGACATTTGCATGCCTTGCTATACTATGACATTTTAAGTCATTACTATGAGATGATTTTTTTCAATGCATTTATGCCTTACTATACTATGACGTTTTTATGCCTTGGAATACTATGACATTTTTTGACATTTTTATGCCTCACTATAGTATGACATTTTCATGACTTTTATGCCTTACTAGACTATGACATTTTTGTGCCTTACTATACTATGATGTTTTTGACCTTTTTTTGCCTCACTATACTATGACATGTTCATGCTTCACTGACATTATTGACTGTTTCATGCTTTAATATACAATAGCGATTTTCGACCTTTTTGTGCTTTACTATAGTATGACGTTTTTCGACGTTTTAATGCCTTACTATACTATGGCGTTTTTTTGATGTTTTTATGCTTTACTATACTATGATATTTTTATGACTTTTTGTGATATACTCAAATATGACATTGTTATGACTTTCTATGGCTTACTATATTATGACATTTTTATGCCTTACTATACTCTGATGTTTTATGACCTTTTAATACTTTAATGTACAATTACATTTTTTGATGGTGTTATGCCTTACTATGCTATGCCATTTTTCTGTATTTTTATACTTTACTATGATATGACGTTTTTTGAAGTATTTGCAATACTATACTATGACGTTTTTTGACGTTTTCATGCCTTACTATACTATGACATTTTAAGTCCTTAATCTAGTAAGATTTTTTTCTACATTTTTATGCCTCACTATACTATGAGGTTTTTATGCCTTGTTATACTATGACATTTTTATACCTTACTGAGATTTTTATGCTTTACTATAATATGACGTATTTTGACGTATTTGCCATAATATACTAGGATGTTTTTTGACCTTTTTTATCCTTAATTTACAATAAAATTTTTAGGCCTTACTATAATCTGACATTTTTTTTGACATTTTTGTGCTTTACAATAATATGACATTTTTATGACTTTGTATGGCTTACTAGACTATGACGTTTAAATATCTTACTATATTATGACGTTTTTTTTACTTTTTATGCTTCACTTTCCAAGGACATTTTCATGTCTCATTATACAATGACGTTTTTTGATGTTTTTATACCTTACTTTACTATCACATTTTTATGCTTCACTATACTATAACATTTGTGATTTTTTCATGTTTCACTATACAATGACGTTTTTTGACCTTTTTACGCTTTACCATAGTATGACGTTTGTTGATGTTTCAATACTTTACTATATGAAGTTTTTTGACCTTTTTGCCATACTATTCTATGTCGTATTTTTTGCCTTTTTTTGCCTTACTATACTATAACATTTTTAGGCCTTACTGTACTATGATGTTTTTTGACATTTTTATGCTTTACTATACTATGACATTTTTATGACTTTTTATGACTTACTCTAATATGACATTATTACGACTTTTTATGCCTAACTATATTATGAGATTTTTATGCCTTATTATACAATGACATTTTTATGACTTTTTATGTCTTGCTATACTATGTCGTTTTTAAGACTTTTTATACCTTAGTGTACCATGTTGTTTTTAAGACATTTTTATGCCATACTATACTGTTACATTCATTGGAATTTTTATGCCTTTCTTTACTATGACATTTTTATGCCTTAATATACTATGATATTTTTTGACATTTTTATACCATACTGTAATATGACATATTTGAACGATTTTATGCTATAGTACACTATGACATTTTTTTCACATTTTCATGTCATAATATATTATCATGTTTTTTGAAATTTAATGCCTTCTATACTAGGACTTTTAATAGGTAAGTATACTGTCAGAGTTTTTTTGAGGCAGAATGATGGTGCAATGTTAAGAGCTGTTGACTCAAGTACAGAAGGATCAGGGTTCAATTCCTGGGCAAGACGATATAATGTGTGGAGTTTGGATGTCCTGCCTAAACTTGCACCGTTTTCCAATACAATATCTTAGTATACTGTGACATTTTATGACACATCATACTAAGACATTTTCTGACATTTTTATGCCACAGTATACTATGTCGTATTTATAACTTTTTATGCCTTACCATACTATGTCGTTTTTAAGACTTTTTATACCTTACTATACTATGATTTTTTATGCCTTACTATACGATGTCGTTTTTAAAACTTTTTATCCCTTACTATAGTATGCCGTTTTTATGACTTTTTATGCCTTACTATTCTATGACGTTTTATGCCTTACTATACTATGATGTTTTTAAGACTTTTTATGCCGTACTATACTATGAGGTTTTATACCTTACTATACTATGACTTTTTTATGACTTTTTTTGCCTTACTATACTATGACTTTTTGTGACTTTTTATGCCTTACTATACTATGAATTTTTATGCCTTAGTATACTATTATGTTTTTATTACTTTTTATGCCTTACTATACTATGACTATTTACACCTTACAATACTATGACGTTTTATGACTTTTTATGCCTTACTATGCAATGACATTTTTATGACTTTTTATGCCTTACTATATTATGACTTTTTATGCCTTACTAT